TTTTGAACTGTGGTGTTGGAGAAGACTCTTGAGAGTCCCTTGGACTGCAAGGAGATCCAACCAGTCCATCCTAAAGGAGATCAGTCATGAATATTCATTGGAAGGACTGATGTTGAAGCTGAAACTCCAATACTTTGGCCACCTGATGCGAAGAACTGACTCATTTGAAAAGACCCTGATGCCGGGAAAGATTGAAGGCGGGAGGAGAAGGGGACAACAGAGATGGTTGGATGGCATTACCGACTCAATGGATATGAGTCTGAGTAAACTCCAGGAGTTGGTAATGGAAAGGGGGGCCTGGTGTGCTGCAGTCCATGGAGTCGCAAAGAGTCAGACACGACTAAGCGACTGAACTGAACTGAACTGAGGACTTCCCTGGTGGGCCAGTGGTAAAGAATCTGCCTTCCACTGCAGGGGACGCAGGTTCAATCCCTGGTCAGGGAACTAAGATCCCACATGCCTTAGGGCAACTAAGCCCATGAACCACAACTAGAGAACCCTATGGGCAGCAACAAAGAGCCCACACAGAGCAACAAAGACTCAGTGTGTGTGCTTAGTTGCTCAGTTGTGTCCGACTCTGTGTGACCCCATGGACTGTGACTGACCAGGCTTCTCTGTCCATGGGATTCTCCAGGCAAGAATACTGGAGTGGGTAGCCATTTCCTTCTCCAGGGGATCTTCCCAACCCAGGGATCAAACCCAGGTCTCCCGCATTGCAGGCAGATTCCTTAGCATCTGAGCCACCAAGGAAGCCCAAGAATACTGGAAAGGGTGGCCTATCCCTTCTCCAGGGGATTTTCCTGACCCAGGAATAGAACCAGGGTCTCCCACGTTGCACGTGGATTCTTTACGAGCTAAGCTACCAGGGAAGCCCAAAAGTGATGCACACAGTGATGTAAATAACCGTTGGAAGCAATTATTCTGTTTTAATATTATCCTGTATCTCTGAACAGAAAGTAGGAGTTTTGAGTCAGCCACCTGGTAGCAATAAAAGTGAAAGTGAAAGTGTTAGTCCCTCAGTTGTATCCAACTCTGTGATCCCGTGGACTGTAGCCCACCAGGCCCACCTGTTCCTGGGATTTTCTCGGTGAGAATACTGGAATGGGTTGCCACTTTCTTCTCCAGGGGATCTTCCCTACCCAGAAATCGAACCCACGTCTCCTGCATTAGCAGGTGGCTTCTTTTACCACTGAGACACCTGGGAAGCCCACAAAGACCCAGCACAGCCAAATTAAAAAATAACTTTTTAAATAAAATAAAAAAATAAAAGGAGAGTCCAGCAAGCGCATCTCCTCCCAACCCCGTCCAGCAGTGCCTCCTGCAGAGCCAGGATCATGCTGGGACTAGGATGCCTTTTCTCCTCAGTCTAGCTGGAGTGACAGCAGTGACTGTAAGAGGTGCATCTGTGGGGCTGGACCGGGTCATTTCCATGTTCATACCCATGATGCACCTGGGCAGCACTCAGGCCTAGGGCCCCAGAGCTGTCAGCTCAGTGCCCTCCGCAAATACTAAAATGAGTTAAATTATTCATTTATTTCTTTAAAAGTACACAGGGTTCAACCATCACAAAGCCCACTTTTGATCTGCTTCCTGACACACAGGGCTCAAGTCAGCCAGGTCTTGTGCAGGCCAACAGACACATCTTGTTAAGTCTTACCCAGCAGGTGACGCTCAATGGGACGGTGCTAAAGAAATAGACTGGGGAAGGTGACTGTCTACTCTGGGCCCTATTTCCAAATGCAGCGCATGATAAGCAGTGGTGCAGAACTATAACCTTCAGTTGTCAGAGCATCTTTGTACTTTTGTTCTTCAAAGGCAGAATGTTTTCTGGCATGTTGCTACCTGAGCAAAAAAAAAAAAAAACTCCCTTAATTTCTACATATGCATGCCTATCACACTGATGCATCTCATTTCTTGTTGCAGTGCATGTTGTCACAGGACCATTAAATAATTTATGCCTTTAATGTATTTATCAGCTCTCCTGTGTGTGTGTGCCAGTATCAAAGATGTCTTCTCTATTAACAGAAAGCAAGCAACCTCTTGAGTCATTCTCCACCATGAAAAAAACTTTGCATCTTATGCATCAAATGAGTAAAAAGTGATAACAGGTCCCTGTTCTTTACACAAAATGAAGTACTCATTTACACCAGAAAAGCAGTCGAACTAAGCATTTTACACTACATATTTTCTGAAATTGCTCCCCTTCCTTCTTCTTTTCTAAGGAAGATCTCTGTTACTCCATGTCAGCTGTAAAGGGAAAATGGCTCCTCGGTTTCAACTTGTTCTATTTACGCTGCACTTTCTTTGCTCCCGCCTTGGAATGTTTACCAGGCCTGTCATCAAGAACAGCATCGGAGCGCCCAGCAGTGCCAAGGGTGGTACCAGGTGTGTGTGTTTGGCAGCCCTTGCCTCCACGGCTGCCCACAGGCTCCAACTTGGATTCAGCCGTGGTGATCATTCACACCCTTGCGGCAGCAGCAGGTCGGGGTGCTACCAGCAAAGACGACAAGCAGCAGTAGTGAGCACCCGGGCAGCAGCTGCTGTGGGCAAAGTCAGGGGACTGCACCTGGCTCGTGTCAACTTCCTGCTCCAGCCACCACCCACCACCCACCGTTCTCATTTGGAAGGCTTTTGTGTCTTGCTGGTACCATTAAAGAATTGCCAGAATGAGACAATCTTAGAGGAAGGGAATCTCAAAAACATGTCATTGGACCTGCTCCTTTTAAAGATAAGGAAGTGGAAGCCCTGAGGGTGTAAGTTTCTTGGCCATGCTCATGTAGGCGGTTATTGGCAGAGTAATGACAGGAATCAAGTCACTGAAGCCACTTTCTAATGATCTTTCTGCCGTACCTGTGACCTTTCAACATTTGTTAGCATAATCCACACAGTATGGAATACATTTTACATCATCACCTACAGTATCTACAGATACGCCCAACTAACACAAAATCTCGCAAAACAATAGTTATCTTTACTATATGTGATATACTCTAGTATTTTCTCTTATAGTATATTCGTTTTAAAAGAGCCTGGAGATTGCTTGGCAGCATGTTACTAAAACTGGAACAATACAGAGAAGATTAACATGGCCCCTACACAAGGATAACATGCAAATTTTCCCCATTTTTTTTTCCCACATTTACCAAATGTTCCTTTTCTTTCCAGGGATAATATTTATAGGTACACAGTCAAATAATTTGCATTTTTCCTAATTAGATACATCTACTGAATATCTAGGAAGGTGGAGTTGATATAGGTATAGAGAAGGGTCCCCTCCAGCTCGAACCTGTCACATGCCCGATCAGGAATAAGCTTATTGTCTGATCTGTCCTTAATTCTGAAAAGGCAGAATGATCTAACAGAGAACACTGGGTCTAGTCCTGGCTCCACCATCTCGCAAGTGTGTGACTTGGGGTGAATTTTCTCTGGGTTCTGCTATCTCAACTGCAAGATCAAGCTGTTGTTAATTGACAAGAGTTCTGAGGAGGGAACACAATAATGCAAATGAATGCAATAAAAAGCTCTATTCACAAGACTTGTCCTGGAACAGCAATGGTTTTAAATTCTCACATTTCAGAGAAATATGGTGTCTCAAGATGTTTCTGGATTCTCATCAAAACACCTGCATAATGTATTATGAATAAATTTGGTATAATAAAGGAAAACTAAGCCCTGGAACTGACTCATTTTTAAATGCTTTTGCAGGTGTTTAGAGAGGAGGAGTTGACCCTAAATCCTGAAGATGTTCAGCCTCAGAAAAGGAGAAGTCATTGAGGTCAAAGATGAGTCTCTGCTCTTGAAAGGAAAAGGTGATCAGTCACAAATTGAAAATCATAATCAAGAAAGGTTGCCGTCAGTGGGTATGAAGAGGAAGAATTGAGTGAACATACTATAAAACAATCAGATGCAACAGCCATGCTGAAGGCTGGTGGAACATGTGGGGTGGAATGAAAGAGAAGAGTTTCAGATGCATTCAGTGCTGCCCAGCTGCTTGTGAAGAAGGCATCTTTCTCAGAGGTGGTTTGGCTTGGGTTCAGCATATTCCAGCTTTGGACTCACCAAATCCAATAGAATTTTTTTTTAAACTGCTTTAGAAATTATTTTTGTTAAATATTAAAAATGTCTGCAATAACATAATCTTGCCCAAAGTAACAGTTAGAAGGATTTTTGACACCTGAGAACGTTCAACAAAGCCATTCAGAAGCTGGTTGTGAGGCTCTGCTTGGAGGTATGCCTAGGGTCAAAAAAAAAAAAAAAAGGCATCACAGGTCCTACTAAGGTACTGAGAGCTGCCTCACGGCTGCTCCTGCTATGTGAAACACAGCGGAAGTTGTAGCAAAGATACTGACGAGGGGGAGGACCCTGTGTGGCCAGAGTGGGTGGAGGTGGTGTGGAAGTGGTGTGTTCTCATTCCTGAAAGAGTGCATTATCACTATTAATGAACTGTTACAGGAAGCTCAGAGCTGTGTTTCTCACCAGTAACTTCAGAGAAATCACTTGAAAAAAAAAAAGACCAAAGAAAAGGTTATAGGTTTCAGTTAGGGGTATCAGTTGACAAAGTGCCTGATGGTTTATGGCTGTCATGGTGCACGCCCACAGACAACATATTTTGTGTTTTTGAATGAAAAGACATTTGTATGTTCTTCTTTAAAAAAATGCCAGCTATGCTTACAAAATTTATTCCACAGCCCACCCAATAGAGTATTTGAAATCAGCACACCCGTGGTGCGGAGGGGTGAGCCCTGAGTGTGGGCAGTGTGACCTCTTTCCCCACAGACTCACCTCCAGCCTGTCTCATTTGCTCCACCAACACCTACTCCTATTGCACCCTCTGAAACCTCTGTTCAATGGTGAGAAATCCTCCCTTGACTTTAGTGGGGGGAGCACTCCTTTCTCTTCCTATTTCCTTTAGAGTCTGGTTCTCTCAGCCATGAACTCACCATCCCACTCCACTGCTCCCAGACTCCCAGGGATGGGGAGAGAGGATCTGTGCCCTCTTGACCCCTTGGAGACAACACTGCTCTTCCACCTTCATGTAAATCCCTCCTTCCCTCCTCACACCAGCTGTTCGCCCACTGTGAGTGAGTGAAAGTCACTCAGTTGTGTCCGACTCCTTGTAACCCCATGCACTACACAGTCCATGGAATTCTCCAGGCCAAGAATACTGGAGTGGGTAGCCTTTCCCTTCTTCAGGGGATCTTCCTAAGCCAGGGATCAAACCCAGGTCTCCCACATTGCAGGCGGATTCTTTAGCAGCTGAACCACAAGGGAAGCCCAAGAATAGTGGAGTGGATAGCCTATCCCTTCTCCAGCAGATCTTCCCAGTCCAGGAATCGGACCAGGGTCTACTGCATTGCAGGTGAATTCTTTACCAACTGAGCTATCAGGGAAGCCCACTACTGCCCCCAAACCTCCCACTGGCATCTTGGTGGCTTACCACCTTCTTTTCTATCCTAGATCCTCCCATCAACATGGCACTTCCATATCCACATGGACCACCACTACCCTCCCCACTTCATTCCCTTCCTCCCCTGGTTACAAATCTGACTTTGGAATAACTTAGCATCATCCCACGAGTGGTGTCCTCCACCTTCCACCCCCATTCTATCCATATCCCCTCATTCTCTCAGCTCTCTTGTGGTTTGGCTTCACTCCCCATCCAACCTAGACTCCAGGGATGAGAGCTTCAAGCACTCCACTGACAATCTGGACCAATGGAAACAAATTTATTTCATAATGTACATCCAAAAGCGATACAGGAGAAATAATCAGGCATATATCTCTGATATTCACTCATTCATTCATTCATTCATAAACTGCAAACAGTTTACTATTGGATCAACATTTTCTTCTCTTTAAAATGTACCATAAATGATAAAGAATCTGCCTGCAATGCAGGAGACCCAGGTTCGATCCCTGGGTTGGGAAGATCCCCTGGAGAAGGGAAAGGCTATCCACTCCAGTATCTCTGCCTGGAGAATTTCATGGACAGAGGAGCCTGGTGGGCAAACTGTTCATGCAGTTGACAAGAGTCAGACACAACTGAGCGACTAACACACACACACACACACACACACACACATATACACACAAATATAAGGGCATTAACAGCCAGTATCATAAGAGCTTCAGTGTTCTCTCCCCATTCCTGGTGGATCATTTCACATAGGCCCTGGAGGGAAGCACATGCCCGTCTCAGAGCCACAGCCCCCATCCCCATCTCTCTTCCCACTGTCACATCCATCCTGAGAAACCAGCCTGGAACCCATCAGCCACGGGTGCCCCATTCTCTTCCAGGTGGCTGCGTGATGCTAGGGGCCAGTGGGGTCCCAGGCAGCTTTTGTAGACATACCTTCCTCCTCAAGGCCCTGTCACTGAAAGCCTCAAGGGCTAAAGCCAAGCCTGTTGGCAAGAAAACTTCCTGCCTCTCTGTACCACCAGCACCGAGGACAGTGCCTGGCCCTTGCCCTCGATCCTCGGCGTCTGATGCATTGCATGGTGCACACACGTGGCCTCTCCGTCACTCTGGGCCACATGGTGGTAAAGGCATGAAGAACATACAGAGAAAACCCAGCCAGTCAGGGGTTCCAGTTGGGCACAGGCTTGGTTCTGAAGCTGTACGAGGGCCCCTTGCCCCCCACAGCACCTGTCTGCCCAGCATGACCCACCAACAGACCAGGCCTTCAGAAGGCAGACACACCAGAGCTGACTGGGCTCTTGTTAGGCCACATGTGACTGAATCCGTTTAATTAAAGCCCACTGCTGTTCCAGGGGGTTGCTATGGAGGCAGGAAATAGGGCCCCTCCAAACAAACTTCTCTTTACTCACAGGCTTGGAGAAGCCTGGGCCCAGGACAACTCCATCTCCTTCTGACTCCAGCTCATAGAAGGATTCCTTGGCTATCACAGGGTGGAGGTGGGTGAGAGAGGGGTGCGTCTTGAAGGAGTAGCACTGAAGAGGCCCGGAGCACCGATGCCAGAGCAGCACTTAGGAGAGGTGATGATGAGCACCACGGAGTGTGCTGGCTGGTGGGCTTTCCTCTCTGGCCGGAAGGAATCTTTGGCACATTCCCTAGCCCCACTCCCTACCCCACCCCCTGCTCATTACCTGGAGATGCAGGCCCAGGTAAGCAATGTCTACAGGACACACAACAGCTACCATACTGTCTCAGGAGGGTAAAGATGATTCAGAAAAAATTCCCTCCCCTCCTGTCAATTCTTTCGTCTTCTCTTCCTCCACTCCCCAGCCCAGTGTTTCATATCCAGTGATCCACGACTGACCCCTGCCTCAGAGTCACTTTCGGGCCTATTTAAAATGCAGATTCCTGGGCCTCTGTCAGCCTAAATCAGAAACTCTGAAACCAGTCACGAAATCTGCAGTTACTCAGTTCTTCCCAACCACTCCTTGTTAATCCACACCCCCTCTCCACCTTACCACCATTCCCACATGCCCCCCACTCCTCAGGGCATCATAATGATACCAACAGGGACTGAAAGGGAAGGACCTGGCAGGAGTGAGACCCCCTGGGCGCTGCCCTGCCCGCGCTGACCGTGAGTGTCTCCTTTACTGAGCTTCATTTTCACCTGGAACATCTCACATGGCTCCTCGGGGCCCCGCTGAAATTAAGTTGGCCTACTTGTCACAAATGAATTCTGGGCAAGCTGAAGTTTTAATACCTTGAACTCAGATAAAGTCACCAGGAAGAAAACAAGTAAATCAGGGAACTGAGATCTAACCTAATGTTGATCTCTTTTGGGCCAAAACCACCGTCTACTATTAGGTCTCTGGTAATGGGCCTGCAAAGATGGAAATGTTAATCAATGCTAAGCCGGAGTTACAAATAAAAAAAGACCAGTGCCATCTACTCACCTCCAGGGAATGGGTGTGAACTTGAGATAACTATGACAGTGAAGCTCTCGAAACCCAAAGACAGTTCTCTGACCCGTTCTTTCACTCACGGAATTTCCGTGGCCCCAGTCCGCGTGCAGCTCCGACAAGTGAGCTATTTTTGTACGTGAACAAGTACAGTGATTGCTATCTGTGCTCTGAATCAAGGATAAAAAGGAAAGTGAGAGGGAGAGATAAGAGTGTGAGAGAAAAAATGGAGGTGAGATGCAGAAATACAGACACGCGGGAGGGATACTGGAAACAGAAGAAAAGGCGCCAGGCGCCCTTCCCAGGGAGTAAGGAGCCGGGAAGGAAGGGTGAGACTCCGAAGGGCCAGGGGGCACCTTGGCAAGCATACGACAGCGCCTCCCTCTGGTCTCACAGCATCCTGGGGCGGCTAATGATGACGTAGGCAAAGGGCTTCGTAAAGGGTCAAGTGCTACCCATTCAGGCGGCTAGCTCCCTGTTTGTGACCGTTTCCAACAGCCCCAGCAAGCCCCGGACACTACAAACCACGTGGCGAACCAGCAAACACGTTTCCATTAAGCAGATCCCGATCTACTCTTCCAGCACCGGATTACCTAGGGACCTTAATGATGCTATTTTAGCAAGAAACTGAAAACGAGTAGAAGAGATGCCCTCAGAATATGTTGAATCCCTTGTGTAACACACCACTCCACCAAGAGCCCATGTTCCACATAGATTTTAATGTATTTATACATTTTTGTTTCGAGACCAGCAAGGCCTGAGCCACAGCTTCCTGCATTCTGCCTCGTCAGCGTGAAAAACTTTGTTGCCCTAGGCCCCTTCAGTTTCCTCTGGGGCTCTCCTTCTCCTCAGAGTCTGACTAAGATGAGAAGTTTACCCCACAAGGTAATAAAGAGACTGTTCTCCGTTCTGATTCAACCCTTGGGCTTCCTGTCGGCTCCTGAGGCAGCTTCGCGGAGGTGTGCTTGCCACCACGACCTGACCACAAGAGGGCGCCAGAGAGCAACGAGGGCCCAACATTCCAACCCCGCCCCCGACTCCGAAGAGCGGAGTCCAGTCCCTCCTCCTTCCCAGAAACTGGGAAGCTTCTGGTCCTTGTGGATCCACTGAAACAAACATGTCACCTTTATTGGACAGTTCCTTGGTAAACTCCTATTTTCTTCTTTCTCAAGTTTGGGTAGAAAACAAAACAATTAATTTAAAAAGCAGCACAGGAGAGCCTCAACATTATTTATGTCTCTAATTATCTCATTCTAGTGGTATTTTAGTCCTTGTCTGGTCAGGACATTAATTATCTTCATAACTACAGCAAAAGTTAAATAATAAGCACCCAAGGCTCCAGCACTAGTGTAATGTGCAACCCTAAATGAACTTATACATTTTATTAATGGATGCTTTATACAACTCCATATATTATAAATCAAACAAGAAACCTATTTCTATCTTTTAAGGGTGCAGAGGAAAAGCTTTAACATTATCGAGGATAATTTTTATTAATTTTAAGACTCCCTTTTTTTTTTCAATAATGAGACTGTTATGAGGATAATTTAATCTAGTTTGTCATGAGGCACCCTGGCTTGTTAAATAAGTTAATAAATGACTGTGCATTAATCAAAGTGACAAAGCTATGAAGAGCAGGGGATGGGAGACAATTCTGGTGATAGTATTAATTAGTATTTAATTAGAAACTTAGGGCCCATAAATAAAAAAAAAATCATGGTAGAGACATTTATGCAAATTGCTAGCAGCCTGCAGTAGACTTAGCTTTGCTTTAAAGAAACACGATTTTTTTCTCCTAGCATACTGTACACAGCAGCACTGCAGCCACATCACGTGGCTTAAATGAGCTCTTCTTTTGTTTCCAATTTGTTCCAATTACAGGCCTGTAAATTCAAATCATTCTTTTGACTGTGTTGATTGAAATGTAGAGTTTCACAATTTCTACTGGGAGTTATTTAAAAAAAAAACATAAGAAATGTTTTAGAGAAGTAAAGTGTTTCAGATTTTTTTTTCCTCTGCTGTTTTAATTAAGATGTGTGCCACCATTTCCTAAGAACAATTGTGGCTTCCATTTGGTACACAAACAATGCCTCCTTTCTAATCCTGGTGAGCTGTAACTGGGTTTTGTTATGTGATATTATATTGGAGACTGCATGGGCTCAACTGCCATCGTTTTTATTATAATCATAGCACTTTTCCCTTTTCTCTCAATCACATGCTTTGATAATGGGCAATTTTTGATGGCCCCAAAAGATAATAACCATTTGGTTCTGAACGTCACTGCTTTCCTAGGGTACATGTCCTCTTTTTCAGACTTTATTATTTGTTGCATTTATTCAAGAAAGGTTATCCACAGTAAAAACTGCTTTTTCTATTCAACAGTCTATCTCTGTCATGGTTCATTTATGTGTGAGCATGACGGACTGAAACCCGTATTATCCACAGCTGACAAGTGTCAGGCCGACAGTTCAATCAGCCCTTCCTTAAGATGATGCCCAGGGCCCTGTGTTTGAAGTAGGACAATAAAGCAGGCAACACAATCAGGGTCAAGCTGATCCAATCCCTGTATATAAAGGGGATTCTGCCTAATAACACAGTGCGATTTTTTTCCCCCTCTCCAAACACATTAGTCCTTAAACAGTGACTTGGCCCTTAAGAAAATCTGTGACTGACATGAAAATGCTGAAGTTTTAACGCGGTTGGTTTATCCATAACCTCATGGGGCTGCTGCTTTGTGCAGACTGGTTTTGTCAAAGTCAGAAAAATAATGTATTCAGTGTCTGATCATTTTTAGGGAGTTATTTGAATGGGATCTTAAGTCAGACATCCTGATGTTGACACAGGGATCAGTTTCTTGTCCTTTTGTTTTACATATGTGGAACAGATCATTTGCATTGGCTAACAAAAATTAAATCTCTGAAAAAAAGCACACCATAATGAGCTCCCTTCAGCAACATTCCACCATTCGCTCCACCTGCTTTGGAAGCAGAGTTTCTTGGTGTTTTTTGATATTAGGTCTCTCTAGAACACAGACTAGAATGCAAACCTAATCTTCAAAATCAGTGCTCCCTCAGTTTGAGCAATACTACAACTCAAACACGCATTAAACCACGCATGCATGCTCAGTTATGTCCGACTCTTTGCGACCCCATAGTCCACAAGGCTCCTCTATCCATGAGATTTCCTAGACAAGAATATTGGAGTGGGTTGTCATTTCCTTCTCCAGGGGATCTTCCTGGCCCAGGGATTGAACTCGTATCTCCTGCGTCTCCTGTATTAGCAGGTAAAGAATTGGCATTCTTTACCACTGAGCCACTGGGGAAGCTCAGGTATGAAACCATTTCACTGAAAATCCTACCAACCAACAGCAGAGCAAAGTCAACCAAAACCTAAGAGTCTGCAGAGGGCCCCTTAGAGGGGTCAGGAAACTATTACCTTTGCTCTTCTCCAGACTTTGAACCACTGCAGAAGGCAGCAGGCAGGGAGGAAGTGCTCACCTACCTGATAGTGAAAATGAAAGTTGCTCAGTCATATCCGACTCTTTGCAACCCCATGGACTATACAGTCCATGGAATTCTCCAGGCCAGAATACTGGAGTGGGTAGCCGTTCCCTTCTCCGGGGGATCTTCTCAACCCAGGAGTCAAACCCAGGTCTCCTGTATTGCAGGCGGATTCTTTACCAGCTGAGCCACCAGGGAAGCCCCACCTACTTGACAGGTGCCTTGGATAGGAGGAAGCCAATGACCTTCTGAAAGCTGCATAAAGTTTTTGCCCTAGAAGGTACCATTAAAGAGAATATTAAAAACAACCTCCAGGCTCTATGGATGAGGGAGGCTCAGAGACCTTTGTGACTGCCAATGTCAAGGAGCTTGGAAATGGCAATGGAAGGGCAAAGTTAACAACAATAACAACAGAATCCTCCATATTTGCTTCTCATTATCTAGCATTACTGGGCAGACCCAAGGTAATGTAGGAAGGGCTACTGAAGTCCAAACCAGACAGTGAGTAATGGCGTTCAGGGTTACCAAATAAGACTTTATATCAATCCCTTTCTTGGACAGTTCTGGAACTTTGAAGTAATATATTCTTTTTTTAATAAATTTATCTTTTAATTGAAGGATAATTGCTTTACAATATTGTGTCAGTTTCTACCAAACATCAACATCAATCAGCCATAGGTATATCTATGGCCCCTCTGTCTTGAACCTCCTTCCCACCTTCCACTCCATCCCACCCCTCTAGGTTGTTGCAGAGCCCGGGTTTGAGTTCCCTGAATCACACAGCAAATTCCCGATGGCTATCTATTTTACATATGCTAATGTGTATGTTGCCATGTTCCTCGACATATTCTTTGTTTGTTAGCTATTCTCCATTTATACCAATTATAATGTCCTTCCATTTATAATGCCCATCCATTTAGCCACATTTGCTGGCCCACTCTGGCCCAGCAGACCACATCATCCAGGCTCTCTCGGTGGTTAGAGACCATGGGGAAGCACTCACAGCAGTCAGTCAAAGGTGGGAGGAGAGAGGCCAGAGGGTACCTTCCTTCCATCTCTGAAGACAATGGCCCCTCCAGCCCCCTGCTTCCACCAAGCCCCTCCTCCGGGGCTCCAGCTCTCACGGATACAGATGTGTGGGTTTCTTCCTCCAGCTCCAGCCCTTTAGTCCTGGGAGCTGAGAGTTTCCCAGTGTGGCTAATTTCTTGGTACCTCCACATATCCTGTTTGTTCACCTAGCCCTGCCCCTACTTCCGAACACAGTCCTTTGTTTAAAGTTACCTCTGGAACCATCTCAGGTGAACTGTTTTCTGCCAGGACCCTCACTGATACGTTGAATTACTCAGCTTCCACTTGCTCTTCCTACTTCTCACCCAGTAGTCTTTAACATACTTTAAAATCTCATAGAGAATCTGATGTAAGATATGAGCTCTCTCCCCAGAAAAAAATTCACTTACACACATGTGCTCAAAATTTTGTGTGCAGTTTTAAAGTGTTCCCAGACTCCTTAAAGACTTTCTACAAATCTTCTAGGTAGTCTGTAGAAACTCCAGTCGATTCTCTCACCTCTGGTAAGTGAATCTTCCCAGAAAACCTACTTCTTCCATTTGACCATGGTCTCACCAAAAATCTCTAGTGGTGTCCTACCAAGCACCATAAAGCAAGAAGACCAAGTCCTCAACAAAGTGTCCCAGGATCAATCTGACAAGTTAGCCGCATGCTTGAGCCATTTCTTATCAGCTCACAAGAAACTATTAAATTTTCAAAGCCAGTTGTTAAACAGAGCACTATTCCCAATTAGATTATATAAGCTTACAACTAAATGTCTTTATTAAAAATAAGGGTAATATGGACTTCCCTGATGGTCTAGTGGTTGAGACTCTACCTGCCAATGCAGGGACCATGGGTGTGGTCCCTGGCCCAGGAAGATTCCACGTGCAATGGGGCCAGTAAGCCTGTGCACCACAACTATCGAGCCCACATACCTAGAGCCCATGCTCCGCAATAGGAGAAGCCACTGCAATGAGGAGTAGCCCCCACTCTCAACTAGAGAAAGCCTTCGAGCAACAACAAAGACCCAGCACTGCCAAATATAAATAAATAAAGGTAATAAAGATAAGTACTCAAAATGTGTTGCTTTCTAATTATCTCATTACTATCTGTGCTCATGAGGTTGTCTATCCTGCCTGAATGGTGGAAACGCTACATAGTGATGTACTGTTGTGCAAATCTTCCCAACTCCATGATGGCTTATAGATTATTTACATCATAGAAATTAGCAAACACTCCGAGTCAGAATCTAAACAATCTGTGTTGATTGTCTAGATCAGGGCTTGGCAAACTATAGCACACAGGCCAAATCTGGTCTACAGTCTGCTTTTGTATGATCCACATGTTTTTACATTCTTAAAGGATTGCTTTTTAAAAAAATAATAATAATAATTAATTTTTAAAAAAGGAGAAGGAAGAGACTGTTTGTGGTCCACAAAGTGTAAAATATTTATTCTCTGGCTCTTGCCTGGAAACTTTTGCCAACCCCTGGTCGAGACCTTAGAAAGTGATGGATAAGATGTTAATAATGCAAATTAAACTTAAAAGTGTATCCTGCCTGTAATCATTACACTGTGAATGGCACAGAAAATTAAGGAAATATTCTTCCAGTATTTGAAAGCTATGACCCCATC